TCTCTAGGGCAGGGCAGATAAAGGCAGAAACAACACATTTACACAGCAATGGCATGAAAATGCAAACAGGACTGGGCTTTACTGGGTAAACCTCATTAGAGCCTGGGCTCTCCCTTTGCTGTTAGCTCACAGTGTTTGGGTCTGCATAACAAACCAAACCTGCATCTCTGAAATCATCCAGTCATGCTTTGCACTGGGAATTATTTTAAAGCAATGCCCACATCCATCCAAACTAAACTCAGGAAAAAAATGCTGAAAATCAAGCCAGAAGAGCAAAAGGCAGGTAGATAATACTTCTGATCTAAGGACCCTGCTATTACTTTTTTCTTTTGTACCAGCATTATCTACTTTTCTGAGCTAGTAACAAGAGAACACAGAAATTACACGATTTGCCCAAGGTGATACAGCGAACCAGCAGCACACCGGAGAATACAACACACATCTTGCAAGTCCTCATTTTCTGCCCTGCTTGCCTCCCTCTCATATCTGTTGCACCCCTGGGATACAAATACAGCTTTGGTAAAACTAAATTTCAGCCAGAATGCATGTGTTGATCACATCCGGGGGTATATATTACAAAAGCACCCTTATTGCCTTCCCATGGAGCAGGGCTGGACCACTGCACTTGGAATTTCTGAGGAATTAAAAAATAATGTATAACTGCTGCTACTTACAACTGTACAAACTATGCCCTAACACTTCAATGCCCTGCTCAAGACAGCACTGCCCACCTAACACAGAGGAGACTGGAGCCAGAGACAGAAATATGGCTGAGGTACCAATTATTTCTTATAGGGAAAGGCTAATGGAGTGAGCAAAGAAATCAAAGTACAGCGTAGTTGTACAGATGATTGCAGGTAGAGAGAGAAGAATGGCCTGCCACAAAAAGAAAATAACAAATGAAACTCTGTGTTCCACTGCTCAGCAACGGCAGAGGAGGATATATGGCAAAGTCATACATTGTGGTTGAGGTTAGCAGTCAAGGGTGCCTGTAATTTAGCCCCGGATTTGGCTCTCGCTTGGCTGAGGGCATCAGGCAAGTCAGTAACACTCTCAACCTTCATTTCTCCGTCTGGAAAATGGAGTCTGGAAYAATACTTACACCACAGGGTGGATTAAAGAGCCAATCCAAAGCTTTGAAATGCACAGCCATAGATCAGGGCTAAATAGCTTTGTTTCTGCCACAAACACTTTGGGCCAATATATGCTGACGTGATGTTACAGAACCAATGTTAGATGTTAGAAAAATGGGAATTTTGATTAGGTTAGCTTTGGGGAAAGGCTCTTGTGCTTCTTGAGGTAAACACATGATTTTCCAAAAGGTACCAGAATGCAAGATGAAAATATTTTTCATTATTACCATTTTCTTCTATTTTTGTAAATACACAGTTTTGTAYTGTGCTGTCTATGAACTGTACAGGTACCCAGACAGGGCCTGAAATTTAACCTCAGGCTAAAAGTGAAAGGATAYGAACTAGGTTTATCCTTCAAAAGCTGTCAATGTTGGTCTGATGTTTCATGTATGACATTCAGGGCAGAGGCACCTACACAWACAAATAATGCACTTAAGAGCACTGAAAGACAAGATCTTAATCTCAAGAAAAAATTATGCCTTTCCAATGTGTCAGAACTTCAAAAGTAATTGTGAGATCTGCTGGTGATTCTCTTAAAGATTCTTTATAGTTCCTTTTACAGGGGCCTTGGGCTGATTCATGTTGATCGTGTCTGACARCTAGCATTTCTGTTAATAATAATCATAAATAAAGTGGACAAGGTTGCCTGACCTGAAATGAGCATATCTATAGTGCCATATCCATTACAGCACAGTGGATCTGTGACCGCAAATCAGGAAAGGTSCAATGGTCTTGACACTTTGTATTAAAATAATATCTGTCTTTTAGGATCTCGGAACCTTTGTGTGCTATCTTTTTCATTAAAAAGTATTCCTTAAGAGTTAACATTCACACTGTAAGAAATGAGATGTTACAGAGGATGAAAGATTGCAAAACTTTGCATTTTTTCATTATACAATAAAAAYGCATTTGTGAACAGCTCTATTCTCCCTTATATCTTAACTCCTCTTTCATGTTCTCTTGCATTGAAGTAATAATCCTGGTTTTATGCCATCATAAATCCGCTGACATGTGAAAAATTACACCATCATCCAACACATCAAAATAGAATTATGATTTCACTGCTGCAGGACCAAATGCAAACAGGAGCTGGGTTATATGAAAGTGAAGTCTGATTAATTTCTGGGCAGTGGTTTTTTGATAAAGATAGGGACAGTGGGAAAGACTGAGTTTTTTTAATTTCCATAAAACCTCTGGTTGCACTTACACACAAGTCATTCCAAACACTACAGGAATTACTTGCTGATATAGGGGATCACTCTCAAAAGTGAAGCACCAGAGATGATTGATACACTGAGAATCCACATAAGGTGACATGTTGAATTAAGAGAGAAGCTTTGGAAATTACTTTAAGGGAGGTCATTGTGCCAGGCTATGCTGAGTACACTGGGGCAGGCAATTTCCAAGGACACAGCCAGGCCTTTCACTGAAAACCCACCACCCCAGAGGTTCACGTCCAGCATCAGGCAGCATTGCTGAYGAAGGAGAGAGGAACTAACTCACACCAGAAATTAGAGTAAAGAGATGAATCTCTTGGCCAGCCCAAAAAAGTTGTATTTGGTGAAAAAGACAGGTCAAAGGTTACACTCTGATAAAAAAGCAGCAAAGCTAGGATCCCTCATGCTCCCTGCTAACGAGAGGTTCATACTTACACCCTCACTTGCTGATTTTGCGTACCTGCCCTGCATGACAATCCRGTGTCACTGTTCTGCCAGGTAGGCTCAAGGCCCCTTCTTTCCTGGTGTGTCCTCCAGACTGCTACAAGAGCAATCTTAAACCTGAGTCTCAAACAGATCTCTTCTTCACAACTCCCTTTTCATGACCACTGACACAATGTTAAGTCCTGCACRGGGGTTATCAAAAGCCAAACCTGAGACCCAAAATACAGCCCTGGTTTAAAATACAACACACACATCTGAAGCTCRTCTGTGATCAGAACACCACCAAGACAATGCCGTTGTCATTCATATCTCCAGCCTTGTCCAGGCTCCAAAGTGCTATCAAAGCAGAAAAGTGAAATGAAACAAGCTGTTTTGTGAGCATCAGAGTAAACAAATCCTGGTCTTCTTCATATACTTTGAGGATGAACTCTGGAGTCTGAAGAACYAGAGGCTCTGCCTGAAGCTTTTCTCAGAGTATTTTTATAAAATATCGGTGGCAGATTGGTCCTCTAGTATCTAATCTGATCCCTCAACTGCACAGCTGCCTATTTTTGCAGAACTTGATGCATTTTTCCATCTAAATGACCTGTGGAAAAAGTCCCTATTACATTGGCAGCTTCTCCACAAGATAAAACCCAGTTGTCAGTTTACACTCACAAATGCCATCTCTGTGRACAGCTTTGTTTTCCTTCTCTGCAGGACACAAACCATCCTTCTCTTTCTTGCAAGTTGTTATTAAGAAGTTTATATTTGAAAGGGGTTTTTAGAGGCAGAGCTCCTCAAAAAGACCAAAATCAATTTAGTACCATTCAAACTGAAAGGCTAGAAAAGAGGATTTCTCAGAGGATGCAAAGTTAACTTCAGAAAGATTATTCAGTAATTTGGTCTGGGCTTGCACCATGTAGAGTGATCACTTTCAGCTGCATCCTCTGAGCAGGTACAATCAGCCATGCATTTATGGATGTGGTTTTAATAGCAGTATCTATTGCATTCACATCTGTGCTGCACATGTTCTTTCTGCTACCACAGTCAAGAACACATAGAARGGGAGAGTTATGCCCCACTCAGTTTGTTCGCTAGAGATGAATTCCAGAGGTGAGTATTTCAGCAAGTGGAATGGCTGGTAAATTAGGAACACTATGAGAAAAACACATTTTGGACAGGCAGAGCTACTGTAGAATAAGTAGCTGCTGATATTCCATGTACCCGTGCCACCAGGTCCAATGTCAACATGATTTTTTTYAGAAGTAGGTTAGGCAAGACTTGCACCAGAGTTTGTGAAAACAGCACCCAGGAAAAATGTGAGGTGACCAGCTCATGAATGGTCCCCATCCCTGTTCTGTAACTTTATGAAACTCACTCTAGTGGAAGGTTGCAAGTGCACAGACCCTTGATATGATCCAGGAGGGTCTTGCTATCTAATTGAAAAGTCCTGATGCAGTGTGAAGCTACTGGGGATTATGTCTGAACAAAGATTAAGTCTTTCTGATCTATTCCATGATCACTAAAAAAGTTTCAGATTTGCRAGTGCTTCAGTGCAGTAGTTCTCATACGTTGTCCTTAACATTATCTGTTATTTGTTATCAATAAATTTCTGGGAAAAGGAGTCACAACTCAAAAGTTAAAAGGCACGAGTCTAAGATGCAGGATAAAATCTTTCAAGGGACACAGGCACATTTTTGTTCCATCTTCTTTCTGAGGGGGAAGAAGAAGCTCAGCAGTGGTTTCAGATGTAAGGTATCTTGCATCCACAGTACACAAGGAGCAGAAGTGGGCTCACAAAAGATACAGCTATTCAGCACGACTCTGGTCTTGGGCTGGTGAAACATATAAATATTAAGTCCAAAGTGCTTAAGAGTAAGTTACATTTCCAGCCTCACAAAGACATCTTTCTGGAATCAAACCAGAAGAATATATGTATAAATAAATACTTGAATGCAGCTGTCATTGGCAACACTAACCAGTTTTTGTCCATCTGAAGTAAACCTAAGTGGAAGAGGTCAGRGGGAGACTTCACTCCCATCACACATGGGATTTGTGAATGTTCCAAAATGAGAAAAGGCAGAGCATAGGACACTTAMCCTGTCCTTGCTCCTCAGCTAAGAGATGGAACTGGAGTTTAACCAGTTTGCCATAGGGCTAGCCCACCCACCACACACTGCTCTGCTCTGGTCCGCGTCCCCCTTTCTCAGCGCCGCGAGCTCACCTGCRTTTAATCGTTTCTTTGGGGTCTTGAGGCTGCGGCACCTGCTGCTGGCAGAGCTGCTGTTCTCGCTCATGGAGTCCTGCGCTGAGGAGGCGCTCCCGGTGGCCTCGCTGTCCCTCATCATGCTCTCGTAGCCGCTGCTGCCGCCACTGTGGTAGAAGAGGGCRGTTTTCCCCATGGCGGGGGGCAGCTCCCCGCTCAGGACACTGCTGTTGTCACTCCCGTGGCCACTGCTGCAGCGGTGAGGCTTCCGAGGAGGGGTGATTTTGCTGTAGGGTGAGGGCAACACGTGGACAGCTGGCTTCTCCTCTCCAGGAAGGGCCCCACGCTCCTCTGTCTCCGTGCTACCCCGCAGCCCCACACCTCTGGCACTGGCGCTCCCTTGGAGCAGCTCCGAGATCCGCCCATTGACAGCCCGAAGGGGCAGCTTGGAAGCAAGGCTGGAGCCCCGGCTTCTGCTGAGGGACTGCATTGACCACGACATGTTCTTCCCGCTCGGGGGCAAGCTGGAGCTCTGCCCCATCGACTGAGGCAGAGACTTGGTGGAGAAGCTGAGCGTTTTGGTGGCAGAGGCAGAGAGGCTGCGGGCCTTGGGACTGGCCAGCAGGAGCTTGCTGACCGCGGAGATCTTGGACTGGCTGGCTTTTGGGGAGGCGCCTGCCGACTGCGAGAGGCCCGAGTTGGTGGGCGAGGACATGGCACTGCGGCTCAGGCTCCTTCCAGCCCTAGGCATGGTGGTGTCTCTGCCAGGGCTCATTTTGGAGCTCACAGAGGACAGACTTCCTGCTCTTTCCAGTGATAAACACTCGTAGTGGCTTCCTGTGGACCTCCCTAAAGAGTTGGTCCTACTAGCGAGCTGCTCCAGCTTGGCACTGAAGAGCTTGCTGCTGCTGTTGTTGATGCTGCTGTCARTGCCAGGGCCTTTTTGCCTGGCATTTTGCTCCTCGGGGAAGCTGGCCAGGAAGGACACAGGCTGGCTGGAGGGACTGCTCGTGGTGCTGCTGGCTGCACTGTGCTGGGGGCTGGCTCTGTTCTTCTGATCCAAGCTTGACTTTCTCACAGGTGGCAGAGGGGGGTTCCCTTTGGGACGAGTGAGGATGCAGTGTTTGGGAGAGGCCATTTTCTTGTCAAGACTAGCCTTAGAAAACTGAGGGAGGGCAGGAGAACTGACTCCACTGCTCTCAGAAGGAGTAAGATGGAGATGACTGTCAGATTCCTCCACCTTGTCTGCCTTTGGGAGCCCTCGAGGGAGGCTACAATTCTTCAAGCCATCACTGGAATGAACAGGGCTTTGGGTTGCAGAGSTGGATGTTGCCACCTCACATCCATCCACAATCCTTTTCAGACTGTCCGATCCCGGGGAGATAGAGGTGTCCCCGCTGCTGGTGCTAAACCTGTCTGCCGAGGACGGCTTCATGCTGTGCTCAGGCTTGGCTGAAACTGCAGCTGTGTCAAGCCTTGGCCCGTCACTGCTCCCAGAGCTGTCCTTTTTGACATCTTCTTCTCTCTTCAGCCAAGGGTCTTCAAATTTGATAAACTTCTTAGCAATTGATTCTTTCCCGTCATGGGAATGAGCAGCCTTTGGGTCTGCAGTTACTGCCGGCACAGCATCATCAGTGTCCTGTGCTTTGAAGGAATTAACAGCAATACATGGATACACAGTAATGTTCGTCTTCATTGGGATGTAGCCTTCGCAGCTGCTAAGGCTTGCCGTGTTCTTGATTGTGACCGTAGTTTTCCCCAGAGCTGATATCTTACAGCCTTTGATGGGTGACACCTTGCCAAAAGCTTCCTCCCCCATTTCTGACAGTATGAGCATGTTGTCAGTCACCGCCTTCTGCTTGTCACCKACACAGATCATGCTGGCACTTTGTATGGTGCTTGCAAACTCAGAGACAGGGGGCTCTGCCATGGCTTCCCCGTGACCATAGCACGCCTGGGCTATGAAGCTGTGGCACGACTGCTCACCGTCACTCCCTGTGCTCATCTCACTCAGCCATGAGCTGATRGATGAGCGTCTGCTGCCGTCATCTTGGGGTTTGTCGTCCAGACTCAGCTTTGGAAGCGGAAGAAACTGTGTGATGCTGACTTCAGACACAGGAGCTGCACCGGAGTAACATTCCAGGTCTTCGGAGATGCTGCTGATAATACTGACCGGCCGAGAGCCAGAGGCCAAAGCCTGCACAGAGCAGTCACTGTTGAAGCTGATGATGCTGGTCGGGCGCCCATTGTCCAGGACACCACTAATGGTCAGCTCTTCCACCAGGGTGAACACCAGCTCGTCTTCTCCRTTCAGCTCCAATGGCTGCTGCACTGTCACCATGGTGGTGCTCAGAATCTCCTTCTTGGATTCTGGAGAAATGCTTTGTTGCTGGTCTTCATTGAGAACGGACTCTTCAAAATCCCCATTGCTGGACGAGACAGACTTTTTCATAACCTGWGGGCTCATGCCTACAGGTGGGGTCCGGATTTCTGGCTGTAGTAACGATTCACTGGATGTCATCGCAGCATCCTTACTCAGAGGAGCTGGAGGGGGAGTGGAGCTGGGCAGGACTCCTTTCTGGGTATAGACCTTGCACCTCTGGGAAGGAGAAGTTGGTGGCTTGTACTCAGATGTCTTCGAGAGGCTTGCAATGCCAAGCCGGGGTGAACCCATTGGCCGAGGTTTGCCTTCCACAAATCCACAGGTGTTGAGCCCTTCTCTGCTGCTCTGCAAGCTGGTGCTGTGTGCTAACTGAGAAGAGTTAAGCTCTTTACTAGAGCTGCCTGTCACACTCCTGGGAGAAGAAGGAGTTGAAAGATTGGTGAGAGCTCCTGAAGGAACAGGGGAGTGATTTCTCCTAGTTTTGCTGGGTGTTGTGTTTGTATTTTCCTTGGCATCTCTGTCAGGATGCTGACATTCTGCCACCGTATCTTCCTTATCAGACTCTGGTAAGTGGCTMAGCTCTGCCAGCTGGCTTGAGACAGTGCACTTGGACATCTGGTCTGAGCTAAACTGAGCAGGCATCTCTTCAAAGGGAAATTTGTCTGTCTCTTCACTGCCATCTATGCAATCCAGCCTCTCTTGGAGCTCTGCAAAGGTGTTGCACTTCAGGCAGTCTCTTTCAGATGTGCTGGGCCCCGATTCACTGACTTCCTCCAACCTGCCCTCATTTTTGGTCTTTTGCAGAGCAGGAACTATGGGAACAAAGTCAGGGGGCCCCTCATTATCCGTCAGTTCCTTGTCAGAAAGAGCAGTGCCATTGGGGCCAACGTAAATCACCGTGTCACACGACTGCTCGCTGCTGGATGAATAATCAGGATCACTTGATAAATGCAAAATTGGGAAGTCTGGGTCAACAGCATTTCTAGAATGGAAAGGCCTCAGCTGGGTTGGCCTGCGCATCCTGCCCTCCTCACAAGAGCTCTCTCCTCCGGAAGAACTCGATGTGTACTGCAATGTGAAAAAGAGAGAGTCCATGACATTTCAGCATTGTGGGCTGCTCCTTGCACAAACTGCATACACATTTTGACTATTCAATGACAACATCTGAGCTGGGAGACCTCTAAACTGAGGCACAGAGCTCTGAAGCTGCTGATCTATAGCCCTAGAGCAAGGACTGCTATGTTCAATGGAGAACTCAAAGCTCCAACTCTGTGAACCACTCAAAATCATGAGACTTAAAAAAAAAAAGTACTAAAAATATGGATTAGGATACCTCTTTTAATTGAGCCTGGCCAAAGAAATCAGCTATTTGGCAAAGGCTTTGTTGATTTTGTGTGTGTGTCTATGTTTGCATATTTGAAGAGGAACAAGAAAACTCATTACATATGACCCTGTTTGGTCATACTGCCAGTGTGTGGAATTGTATAGCACGCACTCAGAGGTCTCTGGAGACACAGTGCTCTGATCCTGTGTGGACTGAACCCTTCATTTATTTCCTTTCAATTAATGGACAAAAAAAGCTTGTCAATCTGTAGGTTGCCAATTTCAACTAAATGCACAAAATTCACTCATTCTGCCCAACACTGTAAGTTGCGCAGAAGCAACCAGAACTCTAAAACATGAAAATGGATATAGTCCGTCCTCACTCTACTTCTTGGAAAATCTATCACCCATATTTAGAAGCAGTAGGAGCAAAAGGGTCATCAGTGCTGGCATTGGGCACAATTGCTCTGCCTGTATTTTGTTCCTATGCTCTCTGAGAAGCATAGAGAAACAAATTCTTAATTAATCCTAATTTTCTTTAACTCTACAGCGGTTTCACTCCTTATTATTTCATTAGCATTAAGAGTATCATGGAAAATAAATGCTCCCTGACAGCTATATTATTAAACAAGGGCAGCTTACGAACCTGCTGCAGCAGATGTGTCTGAATTCACTCCGAAGCGAAAGCATTTACCCCTCCTTGTCTCTGATATTGCTCTCTGACCCTTGTCTAGGGCTGGGTACTTACAACCCAGACACTTTGGAATTGATTCCTGATTTTGTTACACGCTGCTATACCAAATTAAGGATCCTTCATGATCCTCCTTCCTCCCTCCTCCATCATTGTAAGAAGGGAGTTACACATCGTCTTACCTTAGTTTTCTTTTTCTTCATCCTGAGGACCCTTGAGGCAATCTGGATGGTGGAGAGCGTCTCGGCGTAGTTCCCTGCAGCGGCTGAAATGTGAGCTATCATTGTGGTGCGGCAGTTCATGTTCCCCAGGGATTCTCGGAGCAACATGGTCAGCTTGCTGTCTCTGCAAAATAAAATGAATTAAGGCTACATTAGCCAGCAAGGTTTCACATTAGCCATCATGATGTAACTTGGGTCTTGGCGAGATATTTTCTCCTCTTTTAGATGGAATCCTAATTATTTTCCTTCCTCAGATTTGCACTCTGTTGTGCAGCTGAGCATGCTGGAAGAACCTGCACTACAATTCGAACTTCTTTCTCTTTCCAGTTCCCCTTTTCTGTCTCCCTCTGTCTCAGTCCCCTCCGTTGTTACCTTGGCCAATAGAAAGATGCAGACCAACACTGGCGACCATTAAGGAGCCACAGCAGCAAACATCAAACTGCTGCTCTTTTGAAGTGCAGTGTGCAGACAAACCCTGGCCCAGCTCTAGAGGACAAAAGGGTAGTGGATTAGATTAGAGAACACAATTTTTTTGCTGCCTTCTAGGGCATTGGGTAACTTGATATAGATAACAGTTAAATCACTGAAGCAAATTTTGGATGATGCTGCTAAAATACAAACMAATCAACCCTTCAAACTTCACACAATTGTTCTTTCATATTAGATCTTTTCTTCCACTCAGGCAGAAATCAAATTTTCTCTTCTTGCCATTTACTCTATTGTTCAGCATCAGATAGCTTTTGAAATACTGATGTCTTCTTGTGGGGCTGTCTGTGACTGGACTGAGAATATGAATTTTAACAGAATAATGATGCATCTTTAATACTTCTGAGGTGATCGTCTAACCCTGTAGTCAGAAATGCACAATATATAATTTTTTAAGAGACCTTTAGCTCCGTGGTGTACAGGTCAGCTGGATGGTTAGCTGGGAAATGGCATTCTCTTGAACAGAGCCTGTACTAAAGGTTGTGGATGATGATTAAATACAGCTGGAAACAAAGACTGATATTTATCTGTCACTAAAGGAATTGTAATGTTGTAATGATGGTGATACCTTCAGTGCTGTGGATCAGATTTCTGGGGCTCACTGTTAAATATCTGTAAATTACCTATGGTGAGTGTGTGCCCTTGGCATTTCCAGCTCACAGGAACTCTGCAGGAAAGCTGCAACCACTGGGAATGGCAGATATGCTTACTGGGTGGGACTGATGGGCAAACACCAAAACTCGGACCTCACTTTTTGGTTGAATAAATAACAGCGTTTGGGCTGCATATTTTGATGCATCTACCAATAACTCTGGAGAGTTCTCATTTCCTGAGGTTTTTAGTACTTCCAGTGTTAGCTTGACTAGAAATACTGAAAGTAAAACATTTTTTTTTCAGGATTTCTGTTTCCATCTGCTCCAGACACACTGAAGACAGTCTGGTGTCTTAGAGAAGCAAACATTCATAAAGACTATACTGAGACAGCCTCACTCATTTCACTTGTGACCTAAGGCTGCTTTGAATCTACAGATCCAGGGTAATAGGCTGCTGTGTCTCAGGTCAGTGTCCCTCCTTTCTACAATGGAATAATTAGRATGTCAAATTTTGTACATCAGTTACTGCCACTCCATTGCAGRGAAACACGGAAATTATTAACATCTCCACAGAAATCAATAACAAGCCTTTCATTTGCCAGTGCTTATATCATAGCAAAACATGAGACAACAGGGGAAAGTGCAAAAGGATACATTCTAAATATGTTGGTCTCCTGAGAATGCATAACCCATGCAGCCAGCATCAGCACAGAGATGTTGCTCCCCTAGAGATATATGCATTAGGAATATAAAATAATCTGTGCCACCTGCCTTGTATTGAAAGGCCACTTGCAAGAAGAATAAGGACACTGAGGAAATACCTATTAATAATTCAAATGATTCTCTGACATGGATGGGAACTAAAAGGCAGGTTTGTTAAGGATCAAAGCATGAACCAAGCAGTAAAAAGCCCAGCTAGAATTGATTTCTAACTTCAGAGTTTGTTCATTCAGCACAGTCCACATCTTGACTCTCAATTTCATCTTCTACCCAGAAAAAATACCCAGCCTCRTGTCACTACTGGACACTGAAAAATAATAAAGAGGAAGAAAGGTACTAAGCACAGATTTTTGTCAATTCTGGACGTTGTCATAAGATAGGTTCAGCTGTTCAAGGTTCACTGACCTCTCGCAGTAACACCTACWATCTTCGGAAGGAAAGAAAGAAACTAAAAGAGAACATCAGACACAAAAATGTGTGGCTTAATTTTTAACTCTTTTATCCTCTTTAATTAAAATATTGGTAAAGTATTTTGGATGCCTCACCTAAATTTGCTTGACAGACAGTGTGAGACACAAAGCAGGTGCTTTGTTCTTCTGAGTGCTGCCTTAAAAAATGAAAGCCTATGAATTGTTTCATTAGGTCATTCATGCAAAAATTTGCAAAAAATGTAAAATTCCACATGAAAGCAGAAGTTTTATAAAGAGAATGTCTGCACTTCTGCACTGGAAGGGCTTTGAGAAAATAGACCTTTGCTGATCCTCTGCAAACTGAACTGAGACACAGGAAATTCTGAAGAAAGCCACAGAAGGTCTGCTGCTCCTAGGTGCACATTGCTCATTGTGTTAAGCAGAGGCTGGCCAGCAGAAGGTCCCAGATGTCTCATAGTAGTGGAGTGAAATGCATCAATGTCTTCATGGCAAATAAGAGAACTTCAGGAAAGTTAATGGTCTATTTCTATTCTGCTCCAAAAGCAATAAAAAATATGGGCCAGAGAAGCACAATGATACCATTTTATACACCTGTCTTCATTTTAAATGTATTTCTATCCCATCCACTAATGTTTTTATAGTTTAGGAAATTTACCCTAAACCATTATGATTATAGGGATATAAAACACAGAATAAAATGAAGGTCGTGTCAGGATACCACACTTCAGACTCCAAAGCCTGTATATCAGTAAATCAATTCTGCAGTCTTTTCAGTACTTAAAAGTCACTTTTTTAAACTACCTCACTTGGTCTAATAAAATACATTACCCTTATTTGTAGACCTTTTCTTGCATAGCTTCTTAGACAATYATGGCAACAGGAAAATGCTACTAGATATTATTCGTGCATATCCCACACAGGTAAAATCCAAAATAAAGTATGCAAAGATGTATCTCTGGAAAAGTCCAGAGGCAAGAGCCCTGTATGCAGGAAAATAAACCATAAAATATGTCTGCAGGTATGGTATAGAGGTGCAGACCGCCAGGCAGAAAGCTTCAGTTCATGCCATGGCGTAACAGCCCTCCATATGGAGAGCACCTCTCTCTTCCTCACTGTGCTCCCTTTCCTCTTCTGCTGCTTCCCCCCTCTCACATTACAACAGSTGATGAAGGATTTACCTGTTTTCCTGCCATTTTTGTGAATCTCTCAATAGGAACTCTAGCAGGTATTTAACTTCCCCAAGAGAGACGTATGGCAGTACTGCAGTAAGCAGTGTTCTCCTCTTCTGAGATTGCCATGCAGACTGGGATCAGTGTAAATTAGTCCTTTCACTTGCTCAGTAGCAAGGAAAGAYGTACATTTCATGCTCCTCTTATACATAGCTGTATTTCCCTTCCTCATGAATGATTAATTCTACTCAGCTTCAAGCAACACAGAACCTTAAACTGAAGAATGAAGCATGTAATATCACGATACGATTCCTTGGACACTGCATGAATCCCAGTTGCCTGTACATYTAGTCAAAGTCTTTAATTTCGTGACTGGATACTATTTTTCCACTCTGAGCCCTGCCCAATCCCTGCACATAATAAACAGTGCTAACTGAACCATAAGTTATTAATCTTTCATTTAATCCTTGCCTTGCAAAGTATGGACTTAMACCTTATCTACTATTAGGACTATACAAACTCAGATCTGAATCCAGAATGACCAATTTCTTAAAAGGTTCTTCATTATCTTTTCTTTTCCCTGTGGAACTCATCAATGCTGTACCTGATGAATGCCTCTGAGATGAGGCATATAATCCTCTGATAATACCTGAAGCATTGAAGGCTTCTATAAGCATTGGTGTTTGGTRTGAAGCACAGATCTTTCAGAGTACTGATCATTACCCTTCATATTCAAAGCACAGCTACCTGACTTCTCTTGAACAGAAAATGGGGCAGCCAGTTCTCAATCTGAGTACCCAAAAAMCAGGAACATACAATTAGTGACCCATCTTAAAATTTTAGGAACACATCGGCAGAACTAGTCTGAAGGTGGTACCAGGTCCTTTCAGAACACCTCCCTTCTCTTCCAGAGTCCTCCATCCCATTCTCCATATGTTTATTGACAAGGACCAGATCGCTGTATAGTCCTGATTCATGTCTAAAGCAGGTCTTTTACCTGCCTTGAAAAAAGATTATATTTGGGGATGGAGGGAGAATCCTGAAAAACCAACACAATGTATAGCCCATTAATTTTGACATTTTCTGACCCTATAGCAATTGATTTCACAATCCATTATATATATTTTATGAAATTTCATGTGGATTTGTGGTTACACTTCAATGAGACATCAGCAAGMCTGGAACATTCCAGTGTTGCTGAACTAGCTGGCAGCAGCAGCCAGCTGCCACCTTTTGTCTGAACAAGCAGTAGAGAAGTAGAACATGACTCACAACTTACCATGGGGTTTGGGTAGGATTTACTGCCTGTGGAAAAACACTCAGGCTCAGGAGTAACACAATCCTTCCCTGTGCCATAGGGAAGCTGTGCTGTCATGTGTTCGTGTCCTTTTTGACATGCTCTTCCCTCATCAGACAATCCTACACACTTCTATCTGTGTCTGTCCTGGGTTTTTCTCATCTAACCCTTTTGCTTGCTCTTAYTCCCATACCATGACACTCCTCCTCAGCTCCTCCCCTAAACAGCCTGGCAGAGCTCCATTTCATGCTACAGTGGTCTCAGCAGCTACACCAGACTTTGCCATTCTCCAGCACCACTGCTAGACCCTCTTCCAGTATCAATCTGCTCTTTCCTCCCTCTTCCTCCCACTAACATCCTCACTCTCCCTGTCTAGCCTCCAAGGCCCCTCTCCCTTCCCAAGCTCCCCTACCAGCTGCTCACTGAGA